GTGTGTGTGTGTGTGTGGTACACGGTGGAGAAGAAAAGACATCCCTTGGTTGACAGCTTTGCCAGATGTGTGTGTGCGTGTGGAGTGTGTGCATGTTGTGTTGGATGGAGCCTCGTCTTCTCCTGTCCCTTCAACATTCTAATGTCCAAGGTCCATGCACCGACTGAATCAGTCTTCTTCGTACCAAGTACTACAAACAAAAGCAAAAATTTCAAATCTAGTTATTCAGGTGTGAAATTCATTGCAATGACGACAAAATGGGCCGATCCGTGGCGCTGGACCTGGTTCAACAAGGAGCAAGAAAAAAATGCTGGCCCCCCGGAGGACATTCTGCAAACTACACCATTACTTACAGTTATCGATTGAAAAAAAAAAAAAAAAAAAAAAAAAACCCTTACGGTTATCGGTGGCGAAACGGGCAGGGGAGAGCTGTATCCAAAGGCCAACTTCATGTGCCTTTCAGTTGTTAGTTAATACCACAGTGCAGCAGGAGATACCGCTCAGCACGTCAAACAGAGGAAAATAAGTTTAAATAAACCATCTGCTTATCTAAACCGTAAACAGCGTAAAGGGAAAAAAAAAAAAAAAAAAAAAAAAAAAAAAAGCAGCCTAGTGCCTACTCAGAGCCCACAAGTGCCGCAGATGACAGTAAGGAGATTACAAAACCAATCTGACGCAATTTGACACAAGCCCCCCTCTGCGATGTTCCAATTTGACACAAGCCCCCTGAGATGTACCAATTTGGCACAAGCCCCCCAAGATTCACCGATTTGACACAAGATCCTCGACCGATCAGGACCGGTACAAGATATTGCTACCACATGTTCAGGCAGACCAGGTCACCAACATGCCCCCCCCGTGCAATGTTCCAATTTGACACAAACCCGAGATGTACCAATTTCGCACAAGCCACCCAAGATTCACCGACTTGACACAAGACCCCCAACGAGTGAACAAAGGTGCAGAAAGAGAAAAAAACACTCACACCTTCATGTCACTTCCACGAGTGTTCGCTCACACAGCCCAGCATTGTGACAAAGTTCCCCCAACCAACCGACCGACCGACCGACCGACCGATCCGGCCGGTACACGTTACAAAGTCCTTCACCACGTTTGGACAGACAAGGCCGTCGTTGACTAAGCTGCAAGACCAACCGACCGACCGACCGACCAACCGACCGACTGACCGACCGACCGACCGATCGACCAACCGACCGATCTGGCCGGTACACGTTACAAAGTCCTTCAACATGTTTGGACGGACAAGGCCGTCGTTGACTAAGCTGCAAGCTTATCAGCAGAGTGGAAAAAGAGAGAAGGAGACAAAAATCTCCGCCCGTATACATTCATAATATTTCATATACCTCCAACCTGAGTGTGCGTTCACGAGCCCCACAAAGAGGAAGGACCCATTTATTTCCACGAGGCCATCCAGATTCAACGAATCCCAAGGTGTGTAGCCTGCTCCCAGGAGATGAAGCCGCCATCCCAGTGAATTTTCACAAAAAATACAAGCGATGAAGACGCCACACACTTTGTCATCCGCATAGTTGTCGCCAATTTGACAAGATTCAATGAATGCCATGACGTGTGATTCAAACCGGCGAAACCGCAATCGTAAGTGACACGACGAAAAGTAAAGGAGAGTAAAAAACTTTCGAAAGTCTTTTCTCGTTTGAAACAATAAACCAATGCGCAGCGGCGGCGGATGAGAGGGAAATCGCAAACCCTTGAAACCCACGAATTCTGCCAAAAAAGCAAAAAAGAGGGAAACCGCAAAAATCAAGAAACTCTGCCAAACAAAAAAAAAAAAAAGGAAAAAAAAAGAGGGAAATCTTCAAATCATAAATCAAGAAACTCTGCCCAAAAAAAGAAAAAAGGCAAAAAGTTGAAAAAGATGAGAGGGAAATCACAAAACCAGGAATTCTGCAAAAAAAGCAAAAAAGAGGGAAACCGCAAAAATCAAGAAACTCTGCCAAACAAAAAAAAAAAAAAACGAAAAACAAAAATGGGAAATCACAAATCAAGAAACTCTGCCCCAAAAAAGAAAAAAATTCAAAAAAGGCAAAAAAAAAACGTTTTCGCCCCAACACAAACATCACTGGAAAAATATTAGATCATCAACAAAGAAGAAGAGATATCTTTTTTCGAAAGCTGATAAGAGATATCTTTTTTCGAAAGCTGATAAGAGACATATCTTTTTTCGAAAGCTGATCGCACATCGCAGCGATGACTATACATATTCAGGCCGGTACCTGCGAAGTCGCACTGAAAGATCATCGACAACAAAAAACGAAAAAAGCGACAAATCACAGAAGCCAATCATAAATAGGTAAGCGCTTCTGAAAATGACAAGTACCCTGGACAGTGAATACCACCTCCCCTACCATCTTCACCCGAACACAAAAGTATGGTCATTATAGCTGTATTTGAGGCAACTTTCAGTCTAAATACAGCTATAATGACCATTTGTTGTATTCGGGGGAAGAAGGTAGCTCAGTTGGAACAGCCCTCAAAGCAGATAAAGCAGATGGGCGAAATAGTAAAATACAGTTTAAAATTTAAGTACTGCATTTTTTTATTATTATTTTTTTAATACTGCAAATTCGAATTACCTATGGCCGGTCAGTTGAAATGATGATATCTCAAATCCGTTGCCCATTTTTTGAGAAAAAAAAAAAAAAGTTACGCTGAATCACGAACTCAGCCCGGAAGACAATTCAAACACACATTTAAAAATTTAAATCCACAAAAAAAAGGGAAGTTAAAAACAAGCACTACTGCTACATCAGAACCTCAGATTATAAAAATAAATGTCGTGCCCACCCGAATCCCGACTGCATTTTCCAAAGCGATCGGGTGTGTCCGATTGCATCCGCTCTCGCCAACCAGCAAGGGCAAATTTGAAATTACCAACTTGCCTAGCTCATTTGATAAAATACCCCTGAACTGAACTGAACTGAACTGAACTGTTGAAAAACAGACCAGGTGCTGAGTTCGAACTCCACTGAGAACAGACTGCATTTTCTAAATATGTATCTGGTCCACAATACTGTAGTATTCAGACACGTGTAACTACAGTTGGTACCTCAACTGTATAACTACAGACCTGAGTTCGACCTCCGGCGGATGCAGATGAGTAAACTAGGACAATTCTTTTTAAGAAAGAAGAAAAAGAAAAACAAGGCCAAAACCATCAACAACACAAGGAGAGCCAGGACAAAAAAAAAAAAAAAAAAGATCGCCAACTAAGAGTGGCCCATTTGACATGACGATGGCGGCAACGACACTGATCACAAAATGGGGAGAGAGAGAGAGAGAGGGAGAGAGAGAGAGAGAGAGTCGTTGCCAATCACAAAATGGGGAGAGAGAGAGAGAGGGAGGGAGAGAGAGAGAGAGAGAGAGAGAGAGAGAGAGAGAGAGNACAAGTCCCAACAGCCTACGAGTGCGCACTCTTCCACATGCTCCCGCCAAAACTTTCTGCAGATTGTCACCTGCAAAGTCGCACACACACACGACCTGTCTCTTATACACATCTAGATGTGTATAAGAGACAGAGATTACGCTTACCACCAACAACAGCAGGGCAGCCGATGGGCAAGCAAGACAATGTCGTGCCGTCGCAGACTCCAGTGTGCAAATTTCGACGAATACCCAAGCGAAGAACACAGTGGCAGTCATGTGCGCACTTGGGTGACGAAAAGCTGAGCCTGGGTATCGCTGAGGGGACTCTGGATGTCATCCAGTGGCCTTCACAAATGCCCAAGATGCCGTACATCACATGGCTTTCCAACTTTAGTAATGAATAACTTCATGATGGATTACTCTGATTGGGAAGTCGCCCGATATCACGGAGTCGTGACTCTGGCGAGTCTCTTCGAGTGTCTCCAACGACTCCGGCCAGACCTTTCTGCTCGAGCGAGCCTCTAGTACGAAGAAATGTCGCTCGAAAGAGCGAGCTGGGAGTCTGGACGTCCGTTTAGAGTCCGATTGACAAGCGCTTCTGCCGTGGATAAAATGAACATGTACCCACCCACAGGAGAGACTTCCTTGGACACACAGACCCATGAATCCACCCGTGGATGAAGGGAGAGAGATTGCGCTCACGACCAACAACAACAGGGCAGCTGATTGCCAACCAAGACCATGTCGTGCGGTCTGAGACTCCAGCATGCCGAAGTCGATGAGGATCCACGTGAAGAGCACAGTATGTGAGCAGAACTTCAGCCCGGCCAACGCTGACGACACTCTGGACGCTGATGGACCTTGCTGCCTTCACATAGCCCCCCACCGTTACGCCAAGCACCGACTATTTCAGATGCAGACAAATGATCACGCTCGGTGACGGACACTTCCGCCTCGGATAAAATCGTTCGATTACGTATTGAGCAGCGACTGCCTGGTCCACACAGATCCCGGTGCAGCCTTAGAGAAGCCCCGCAGCCGTCCACGGGCGCAAGGAACGTTGCGACGCCGCAGTAAAGACTGCTTTTATGTGCGTGCCTTCTACCGAATAAGTCTGGGCACTGCCGCGACTGTGCCGCCAGACTTGAGTTCGAACTCTGCTGGTTCGCGAGTTTGACTGTCCACTTCGTGTCCTGGTCGGGATTGAGTGTGCAGCTCACTAACGATAGTCCGTCGATTCAGGCTCCTTCCCGTCGGCCGATTCACGTACACCCAGAACCAAGTCATGATGAGCACTTGGTGACGATGACACTTGCCAACGGAGACGATGATGCGAACCAAGTCCAGCTGCAAAAGTAGTCGTGAGAGAATGTGTTTCATGCAACATTGCATAGCAGAGCATAAGTAAAGCGAGAGGAGACATCTGTGCGCCAGTTTGGAGACTAAGTCCACATTTTGGCCAGCCAAACGAGACCAGTGCCTGTTCTGGTGGTGTCGAGGTTCGAAACACACACACTGGCCCTGGTTGCATCCGCGTCGGCGATGAAGAAATGCGAGTGTGGGATTAGAGATAACATGCTGGCCATGGGAAAACTGCCTGCTATTGAATCTGTACTGTTAGTAGTCAATAAGGAAAATCCCTCGACAGCAGGAATGTGAATACTGATACCAACAAGGCGTGGCACTCTCGAGGCGAGAGCCCCACCACCAAAAGCTCCCTCTCTCTCTCTCTCTCTCTCTCTCTCTCTCTCTCTCTCTCTCTCTCTCTCTCTCTCTACCCTGTTCCTTATCCTTGCTTTCTGGCCGTTTGGTGAGTTGTCCATGGCACTGTCGAGGAG